ACCACTACCCCACTTAGCCAGCGAGACCTGTGTCAAACTTCCAACCTACAGAACTTTTGTGTTAAGTTATTACATTTTTAGTAATTTTTTTGCAGCAGCAGTAGAGAATTATTACAATCTCCAAGTAGATGAATGTTTTGAAAACTGCGAAGTAGCTTTGTGAACTTGCTCTTAGCACTTTGACACAGAAAGAATCAGAGTATGTCTGAAAGTGAATGAACTCAGTGTCCTCACATGTTCTCCTCATGCTGCATGTTGGAGGATGGTCCTGTAATCAACTAGTATCACTTCCATTCCTTCTCTGCCCTTGAATGCAATCCTTTTTCCACTCAAACAGATATTTTGTGCAATACCTGCCCCTCTTAGTATCTTTTCTCAGGCAAACCACCTATATGACATTAGAATGGTATGGATGCTAGTTAGCTAACATATTCTGAAAATGGACATTTTGTCAATTTGTACTACACAAAAAAGTAAATTACACATTTTGAAAAATCTCACAAAAATATAACAACATGTTTTCCTGTAAAGATAGTAAACATTGAGATAAGTAGAGCTCATGTAGCATTACGAAATGCTGTTACAATGTTAACAATGTTTTGTCTTCTGATGGATGTTTTTACTCATTCAATAAATATGTTTATTATCTACAATGTATTATACATTATAAAAGTCTTTGAGTTAGATCAGCTCACCATAGAGTAGTTAATTTAATCAATTTATTACTTAGTCCTTATTTATCGATCTCTTATTTTATTTAACCAAGTTAAACCTAAAGATGCTACCTCTGTTCTTATATTATAGATCTCTATATCATGAATAGTGTATCGGGGAAAGAAAAAACCAGCAAATTGAGGAAAAAAGTAAAATGATAGAAATAATAATAAAAATCAGCCTTTACTGAGGAATTCCTTGTGTCAAGTGTTAAGTTCTTATAATGTGTTCTCATTTTATCTTCATAGCCCTGTGAAAATTTTCTCTAAATTTAAAAACAGAAAATAAAATTTAGAGACATTAAGTAACTTGCCCTTGAGTACATAATTATTAAATGCAGAAGGCCTAGGCAAGCTGACTCTAGAGTTGAGCTCCAGTCTTCCTCTGCAGTGGCAAAAGGATGGGAATACAGGGACAGAGCAAAGACGAGATGGGAGCTAAACTTATCAGCATCTCATTTTACTTATGGCTCTATTTGATTTTTTCAAAATAAATGCTGTTTTACAAGGAATTTAGAATGGAATGGCTAAAATACACAATAGGGCATTGAATTTATTCCCTGATATACCAAGTCCAATTTCATACATACCCAAAGACTATATTAGGCACTGAAAACAGATAAAATCATGGCTCTGGGAAGAGGAGGAAAGACAAGAGAGCACGGATTGCTCTTTCTTTCACCAGGAGCTTCTAAATCTCAACTTTTCAACTAAGGCTTTATTAACACTAAGAGAAAATTAAAAATGAAATTTATTTTAGAAAGTTTGCCTACTTAGGTAAACATGTGCTCAAAATAATGGCATAGAGAAAAATCAGAAACCTGCATAATTTGTGCAATATTAACTTCTGGAAGCCTTAGAGATATAATCCCAATGAATAGGATATTTGGACAAATTCATGTTTCTAAGTATATTAGACATGAATTTGTACTTACTAATGGTTTGTATTTCTATGTAAATCACTGGATTGAGGAAAATGGAGTCATTAATATTCTCAGAGGTACTGACAAGCCATTCAAAGCTCAGGCAAATGATACATAGGATTTTTCAGTTTATTGTTATACTTTTAAAAGTATGAACAAGATAGTTACTGAAAAAAAACAAAATACCAAGACTTGGACTCATACATTTTCTCATGGTTCTGTATTATATAATGACTTGAAACCATCTCTTTCATGAGAAAAGTTGCCAAAAATGGAACGTTAAGTGATTAAATAAAGAATCATTCCAGACTCCATTTAAAAACTCTAACATGATTTACACTATAATCAACAGGTCATACTGACATTTGAAAATCTAACTTTCAGTTTTTGCTTTGCATTAAAAAAAAAAGAGACAGTTAGGAATTTTAGAGTGTAAATGTGCTCCTAAAAACTTGATAGTCGATCACCCTGAAGTTTTGATTGCCAGAGAGAACTTTTCTTGATTTTCATCACAGCCTGAACTGGTATCCAAGAATAAATCTGAGTACATTACTAACCCTTCCAATAGAAGTGTTTTGAAACGGCTATCTAACAAATGTAGACTACAAATCTTTCAAAAGTACACTTTCTTAGTAAACAAGAAAAAAACTCTAATATTACAGTTTTTGCTTCTAAACAATATGCTACATATAAACAGGCCTATCTATTTAAATCTTTAAAAATATATTTGGGACCTGCTCAGGGATGGTCTTGCTTTTTTTCTTTTTTTTCTTCCTGAACCATCAATGACTTTTCCCCATTCAAATTCTTTGCCACCCTAAAATTGTGTTTGAAAACTGTGTATCAGTTAAACATCCACAAGACGAATTCCCACATACCAGCCCTTTCCTAATAATTTGTTCTTCAAGGTCCATCAGTGTAGGTATAAAACTGAAATGACTTTTTGCACGGTGTTGTCACCCTCCCCCATCCAAGAAAAATGAACAGAAAATACTTACAATGGTTCTTAGCCAGGAGCATTTTATCCCTTATTCACTAGTGGTAAATGAGTCAGATATGAGTTGGCCAGGAAAAGAGCTGCTTTACCCAAAATCTTAGTATGAAATGAGTCATCTCACTCCAAACACCAATATATCCTCCAAAATAACTGGCAAGAATTTCCTATAAAAAGAACCTTGCCTTCACTCTTTTCCATCCATTTAGGTCTCTGATTTTTCTAATTTTTCAATTTCCTGCATGTTCATAATATTGCATTTATAACAAAAGCCAGGAACATTTCCACCTCTTTATCTTATTTTGAAAATCATCTTTGCCTATTGAATAGGGGAACAATTTTGATAGCTTCCTCTGAAAAAACTAAGAGCTCTGTGACTCTCAAGGACCCCCCCCCCTCTCTTTCTCTCTCTCGAAATGCATTCATGGTTCAACTGAAATACAAGAGCCAGTTCTAGAAGAATTTTTTCTTTTCCTCTGTTAAGAAAAGGAGTTCAAAGCCACAGAAAATACTTCAAGCAAAATCATTTTTCTTCCCACAAGAAAAATCAATCACTTTAGATATAATCTGTTCAAAACTGATAAATGAGTATGAAAGCAGACAACAAACTTCAACTCTGCTTTCCTGCACAGCAGGACATTAACATTTCCATTTGCTCTCTGCCATCAGATGAAGCTTAAAAATCACTCTGGATTGAAACTGAGGTTAAGTCCTGTAGATTATCAGGAGTCAACACACTATTCACCTGAGGATAAACAAGTGTGCTTATGAAGCCAATTCTTGCCAATGTGCTGAGATTTTTTTTTTTGTATTACTTGAGGCTCATAAAATCAATTATTATTGCTAATTATTCTAAGCTCTGCAATTTAATGGACAAAATTACGGACAATTCATTTCACTGAGGTTGGAATTTAGCCTCGTTTTTCTATATTAAATGAATTCTAGAGAATAGCTATGCTCCTTTTATATTCAACAGTAACAGATGTTAGTTTCCTCGGTTTTATAGCCCTCAGATGACAGACAACTAACTGTTTTTGGCCTTGGGAATAATTGCAACACCTTTGGATTATGAACTTGGTTCACTTCTTAGCTGGAAACAGCAGGGGGTTCGTTCATATTATCAAAGACATAAAAGAAAACAAATTTCCCTGTGCTTCAAAAATCATAAGAAAATGACTTCTAATTCAAACAATATACATTTTTTTTTCTCTACTGATAATCTGCTCCTTAGTGCTCAGAATAAGAGAAAATACCTGCATAAAATTGAAATCTCTTATTCAGTTTATCTTTTGCTCTTGGCCAAAACAAGATGTTAAATCCATTAAACTCTGAGTATCCAGTAAAAGCAAGAAAGCTAGAATTGTTCAAATTTGTGCATTCTTGGGAAAATAGCCAACTTATGCACTAGTAGCAGGATCTGTGTAATTAATGGTGATGTTATTGATGGAGGGAATCTGATTTTCTTCTCAGAAGCAATTTGAGAGTATAAACTGGCAGAACTTTAGCAAAGCCTTTCCTGATTCAATTTCTCATTGAGGAAATAAGACCTTGAAGTCAGCCATAGAAAGTACCAATGTCAATGTACATTTGTGGTGATTTTGGTCGTGGTAGACTTTAAAGAAATCCTGAATGTAGCACTGTCCATAGAATACAATGATGGACCCAAAAAGGCACAAACTGACAAAGATTCCTTAATAAGACAACAAGGGAGCCCAATCTTAGATTGACCTTTAGTTTTTTCCCCAGAAAGCTATGTTCATATGAAGTTGAACAGAGACCAATTCCTTCCTATAATGTAAGTAAAGTAAGACTCAAGTCCACACTCAGTCTACACACGCTCTGTCTCATTTGCAGACAACTTCCACATTCATCATGTTGCTGGACCTCAAGAACAATCACAATGGACAAAGTGCGAATGCAGTTTTGGCTAGCCACTGCCTCACATTACCTCCAGCTTCTGCTCTCCTCTTTCCTTTGTTATATGAGGAATTTCAAACTGATGAGAGGAAGAAAAAGAACATCTGGAAAAATAGAAATAACTAGGGAAAGAATTAAGGCCACAAGCAGCTCTTTCCATAATGATCTGCACTAAATTACCCAACCAGGAGTGATTTTTCTCACCGACTATCTCATTCTCTCTAGTTCTCTGTGAACTGCAACCACATGCTCCAGGTCTGTGTTTCCCATGAAGAACAAAACAATTGAATTTTCTATAACCCAAAGCATGTGCTCTGGCATCTGTGGTTTTGGAGAAAACAGGTGGAGGAAGTGGGGGAGACAGGTGAAGGAAAACCAGGAGCAAGGTTCATGAACATCAGAGATGAGCCTGGATGTTACTGACCCACATGATTCACCACACTGGATTCATACCTGCTGTCTTCCTGAGCAAAGGGCTGTTCCACATCCACCGTCAGGGAGGCCAGAGCAGAAACGGTCTCTGTCTCTTCTTGCAACTGAGCGCCAGGCAGAGCACAACCCCTTGGCACAGCAACCATCCTTACCGACTTCCAGTACTTGCCTAGAAAAAACATCCATCATACTTTATAGGAATTTTGGTTAGAGCAATAGTAATAAGAACACTCGAATAGATCCAACTCAGAACAGTTGTTAAAATTCCCCCTGTTATACACAGTTGTAATTTGGTTCCTTAACTCTTATGATTAAGTGGTTTTTTTTTTATATATGAATGTTAAGTTGTGATGAACTCATATTCCCAAGTTTAAATCTCTCTTGCTCTAAAAGTAATACAGTGAGGGATAATCCATGATCTAATGAACTCACTAAAAGACTGACAGCTGTCTGTACAACTAAGTAAGCAAACTCTAGGCACCATTCCCCCTGGGAAACCCCTGAGAGACCTGGAGGTAGAAGTTTCCTGGAAAAAAATGAATGAAATAGTAATGTTAAAAATTACTACTTGAACCATTAACTTTTTAAAAATGAAGTTAGAGTATTAAAGAAAAAAGCAAAGCCTGGCAATGCCAGCATGAATCAAATGACAACTTTGCCAGAACAATTGGGCTTGTTAGTCCTGGATGTTCTCTCTTTCTCAACCTCAGGGTGTGTACTAGAACAATAATTGACTGAAAACTTTAATATATGAACTGGCTGATGTTGGAATCCTTCCATGTGTCATATTGATATTTCTTTTTGTGAGACAAGGCAGAGAAGGAGAATAAGAGGAAAATAGTCATTTCATGAGAACATGCTAGTGGGCTAAATATAAAAGAGGAGAGGCAAAGCCCTCCTTCTTGCAGCCCCTAAGCTTTTTTTTTTTTTTTTTTTTAGTGTATGTGTGTGAAATGTTGAGTCTCAAATCAAAGCCGGAAAATCTCCCTAGATGCTGACATGACTCATCAGGTTAGAACTATCTTTACAACTTGACCAATTAGATGGAAACTTGGCATGCTGAGGATTTGCTTATTTCAAATAAAAAAAAAATAAAGTCTTGCTTGAGTGCAAAAAGAAGATAGATGAATACTGGACTAGAAAGTAAGCTAACTGGGCTCTGGACCCACCTCTGCCTCTGGACATCCCTATCATGCTCATAGGCCTGCTAGGACTTTATTTCTGCTTCTTCCAAGATGGGGATTGCTTCAAATATTTTCCAGCTCAAATACTTTGTGATTGGACTTCTTTACTGTACTGTTTCACAAAGGAATGAATGTCACATTAGGGAAAAAGACTCAGTCTCCCTGTGCATTCTGCATGCCAAAAACACTCTCTGACATAAGTGTCCACACTACTTACTGTGATCATCTGCTATGTCCAAAGTCTGAAAGTCACAAATGTTTTAATTTGAATCAAACAATAGTTATGTCAATGAAGCCACAAACTAATATTTTTTGGAAGCTGAGACTATGTTAGATGTTGATGTCACAAAGAGGTTCCTAATCCTAAGAAATCCATTCTGGTTGAGTTAATCCTACTAGTTAACAATGGCACATCTGTGTGTAAAAATTCCATATTATCCTTGGGAGGGAATAAACGCAACATATGCTTACAGTGATAGCAAAATAAGGGAAAGTTTACTAGGGAAAAAAATAGCACTTTGTCAAGTATTTGAAAGGCAAACAGAAGCTGATCAAACTAAAATAGGGAGAGGTGGTGGTGTGTGGGTAACCCCAGAAGAGGAAATACTACATGCAGAGATATAGAAACTAGGTCTCTGTGCTTTATTGGAAGTGCAAGTGAAACACAGAAAGAGTCTGGCGTGTAATGAATGACTGCTATTGTAGGCAAAGGCAAACTAACACAATCTTGAACAACATGCCGATGATCTTGGACTTCAACCTTGTACTTATAAGTAGAAGAGGTACATAATCAGATTAATGTTTTAAGAAGATTTCTCTGGAAAGATCATGGAAGATGGATCAAAAAGTGATGAGGATAGTGGCAGAAAGACCAATTTTACATCCTGGCAAAAGTCCAGGTAGTAAATCAAGATGGAATAGAAATGAGAAGATGAATTAGGGACCTTTAGGAGGTAAGCAATGGAAATATATCTTGGCTTTTTCTTCAGTATTCCTCACATCTCTCAAACCTGAAACTTGTCCTTGAATTGATAATTTCATTGCAAGTGCCTAATTACTCTAGAATACAATGTCATTATTATCCTACCCAACTTGGAAATGCTATAACCATCAATTAGTTTAGTAAATAGAGTTGCAATGAGTTTCACAAAATGTCATTAAGCACTACTTTAGCACATTATATTCACAAAGCTAGTGATGTGGGATGGCATTCTTTCCTTGTTCTCTGGAGTGACAAGTGCAGGGACTCTGACAAACACACCACAAATAACTGATGATTGATGGTCAAATTATGTTATAAAAACTACAGGGAGGAGACACTAGCATTACTGAACACCTAATATATGTCAAAGACTGTGTGATAGGGATTTTTAACATTTCTAATTTGTTTTCATTTAATCTTCATGTTAGATAATTTTTTCAAAGGTCACATTGCTCAGGATCAGAGGAGCTTTAATTCTTTCCCAGGACAGATTAATTCACAAATCTCTTCCTTTATACTATGCTGTCCTCCTCCATCTTCCACCCAGTACACACAAAAATATTCTCAATATATGAAAATCTTGACTTAAAAGCATTGTGCACATTACAGATTCTTCACTTTACCAGAAAAGAAATATCAAGCTATCTTTGTTCCTTAGATATGTGTCTCCGCACACTTTTTTTTGGACTTTCTGGTGTGGATTTTTTTTTTTTTTTTTGCACAAAGAAAGACCACCATGTTCAAACTTGTTTTTTTCTACACTTTATTTTAGTTTGGATATGTAGTGCTCCCCCAAAATTACATGTGTGAGACAAAGAACGTTCAGTGGTCAAATGATTTGGTTGTGAGAGTTATAGCCTAACCAGTGAGTTAATCCACTGGTATGGATTAACTAGGTGATAACTAAAAGCAGGTAGGGTGTGGTTGGAGCAGGTGGGTCACTAGGGGCATGTGTTGGGGATTATATTTTGTCCTGGTGAGCGGAGCACTCTCTCTGCTTCCTGGTGGCCAAGTTCTGAGATGCTTTCCTCCACCGTGCCCTTCTACCATGATGTTTTGCCACACTGCAAACCAGAGCTTTGAAGTTGGCCAGCTGTAGACTGAGACTTATGAAGCCATGAGCCAAAATAAAGTTCCTCCTCTAATTGTTCTTGACCCATCATTTTGGTCAGTGACAAAAAAGCAACTAAAGCACTTCATTTCTCATAACCTTGTACTATTGCAAGTACTAGGTTACCAGGTAAGTCATCAATGAATCTATGATAAAACTGGAGACCAATGTTCACTGAAAAGTATAAATACAAAGTACACAAAGGTGGAGCTCTGAACTAAAATACAAGATTTTCAGACTGCTAATCTTATGCTAATTTTAGGAAAGTCATGGAATCACTTTGAAGAACAGTCTCCATATTTACAAAATAATGGCACCAAGAGTTTAATGATTATGAAAGATTTAATTCTGCTCTAATTCTCACTAATGGTGATTCTTCTGATCTTGTTAACAAATCACTCTTGGATATTATCATACATTTGTTATGTTAAAAAAGCATTACATTTCTATGAGCCTATGAACCCGCAAAGAGGATATTAAGCATTGACTTTCAGATAATGACATATCTACAATGACTGAGGACTTTCATTTTCAAGCACTGTAAATTTTTCCTCAAGAAGAAAACTCCTGGCCATAAATAACAAACAATTTTGCTCCCAAAAGACAATGAAAAGGCATGTATTCTTAAGATTAATCTTTAGGAAGAATGACTGACAATGATCCTTCAAATTTTGACCTATAAGTATGTGATTTTAAATATTTGAGATGTTTTTGGATAAAATTTAATGTGTATAAAATATTCTGCTGTTAAGATCAAATAATAGAAGTTTGGCTCTTATCCAAATATGTGAGGTCCCTGACTTAGAATTTAAAGATTTTAAATTCAATTTGGCAGAAAAGGCCCAGTGGCCCGCAGTGGGACAGAGCTTCCAATCATTCCTGCAAGGTAGGCGGGCCTGCGACCCACCTGCAGAAGAGGAGCAGCAGCCTGCTGAGAGGCTGAGCTGTCCCCTCCCCCTGCACCGGCAAGGTAGAGGGAACTGTGACCACGCACAGAGCAGGCCCAGCGGCCTGCTGAGGGGCAGAGCCACCCCCCACCCCCCGCGCCTGCCAGGTGACCACCGACAGAAAAGGCCCAGTGGCCCACGGTGGGACAGAGCTTCCAATCACTCTTGCAAGGTAGGCGGGCCTGCGACCCACCGGCAGAAGAGGAGCAGCGTCCTGCTGAGAGGCTGAGCCGCCCCCTCCCCCTGCGCCGGCAAAGTAGAGGGAACTGTGACCACGCACAGAGCAGGCCCAGCGGCCTGCTGAGGGGCAGAGCCGCCCCCCACCCCCCGCGCCTGCCAGGTAGGTGGAACTGTGACCACGGACAGAAAAGGCCCAGTGGCCCGCGGCGGGACAGAGCTTCCAATCACTCCTGCAAGGTAGGCGGGCCTGCGACCCACTGGCAGAAGAGGAGCAGCGGCCTGCTGAGAGGCTGAGCCGCACCCTCCCCCTGCGCCGGCAAAGTAGAGGGAACTGTGACCACTCACAGAGCAGGCCCAGCGGCCTGCTGAGGGGCAGAGCCGCCCCCCACCCCCCGCGCCTGCCAGGTAGGTGGAACTGTGACCACGGACAGAAAAGGCCCAGTGGCCCGCGGCGGGACAGAGCTTCCAATCACTCCTGCAAGGTAGGCGGGCCTGCGACCCACCGGCAGAAGAGGAGCAGCAGCCTGCTGAGAGGCTGAGCCGTCCCCTCCCCCTGCACCGGCAAGGTAGAGGGAACTGTGACCACGCACAGAGCAGGCCCAGCGGCCTGCTGAGGGGCAGAGCCACCCCCCCACCCCCCGCGCCTGCCAGGTGACCACCGACAGAAAAGGCCCAGTGGCCCGCGGTGGGACAGAGCTTTCAATCACTCCTGCAAGGTAGGCGGGCCTGCGACCCACCGGCAGAAGAGGAGCAGCATCCTGCTGA